ATATATATATATACACATATATAATGATTTTATGGTAATGACTTCAAAGCAGTCTTTCAGCTTGGCTTATTTTTCAATGAAGTAAACCTAGTTTACTAGTTATTCTTCATTTGTACTATTAAGGATCATTACATTTTTAAAAAAGTGGTATTGCAAGCTGGAAGTGGTCAATTATTTTTACCAAGTTAAAGGTGAGCTGACTGCTCTGTAATTCTCTGCTGGTGGTAGTATATGTTTTGTATATAACAAAGAATGGGGCTGGTTACACAGGCCCCAGAAGAAAGAGAAGGAATAAGTTGATTTAGGACCCACCAAGGCACTAGATTGTGAATACTGCTATCACGTGAACTCAGAAGATCTGTTGATGTTTAGAAGGTACAACAAATAAGGTTTTCTTCACTCTAACTCTTCAAGGTTGGTTTACATGGCCACTTAAAAAGTGAAAGCAAAACAAAGACGCTCCCCGCCTCGAATTTTTTAAAACCCTCTAAAGTTTTTGAAGATAAATAGTTTGTGGTCATATAATACACTGTGTTCATATAGTTATTAATAGAACATCTTCAATAAAGGATAGCAAAATAATTTTCCTCTGACCCGTGAATCAGTATGTTTGTATGTTCAATTAAATTATAGCCCAAGTAGCAAGGAGATCTCTTAAAGTCAACAATTCCTAAAAGATATCTATGATTTGGCCAAGAAGATCTTAAAAGTAATTGTTTACTTAAACCTTTCTCATTTTTTCTTAACAAAAATATCGAAAAGAGGTAGAAGGGCCCAGCAAGTGCTTTCTATATTCACATTTGCTAAAGTTAGGAATGACTTAAAACTCAAAAGACTTTAAAAGTACTACAGAATACTGATGAATATTTTTCTGGTGCCCACAAGAAATCTGAAAAGGGAGAGACTTTTAAGTAATAAGAGAAAAGAGTGCTAATCAGAAAAGACCCTCAGTCTGCAGGAAAGGTGAGGTCTTCCTACCTGTCCCCTAGCCTGTAAGAGTGGTTTCACAGGTCATGAGATCTGTGTGTCTCTAAGGACTAGGATCAAGACAGAGTCTGAGGCCAAACTTGGTGGCATATGCCTATAATCCCAATGCTGGGGAAATGAAGGCAGCAGGACTTCAATCAAGGCCAGCTAGTGAGACTGTCAATAGCTACTATAAAAAAGTACTTTATCACAAAGGTCTACAATAAGATATTATGGGATACTGTGATAGGGTACCTTCCCTACACTGGAAGGATTATTTCTAGAAATGTAATTCTTCTGAAACAGAAGATAGGCAGATTGTTCTTCCCTAATGACTCAGTAGAAGTTGGAACTTTTTTTAAAACATAGAAGTCATGGGCTTGCTTTTCCATCCTAGAAATGGTATGCTCTAATTTCACTGCAAAAGATTAAAGACCCTGAACAAAAGTCATTTTCTGTTCTTTTCGTAATAATCATTTAGGTCACTTAATAATGAGTATTAGGAGTGGGGAAGAAGGCAAGAGGAGGATCAAGTCTGGTCTCTTGGAGGCTCAGAGCCAGCCCTCTACTCATGGGCTATTGTATTATAATTTAACGAAATAGGATGTCTTTCTTTCCAAGAAGAACAAAAATCAGAAGTAACTATTCAGGTTAAACCTATGCAGGCACATAGCACACAGTTTACACTTTTTTTTTTTTTTAAAGAATCTTCGTAGGTTACTTTTAAACCAAGCATATTCTTGTATAATTATGGAAAACTCTAGGTACAAATTGAAAATTTAGAAGCAGTTAAATTCTTTTCTCTTACATGAATAGTACTGTTCCAGAGTCAAATCAGATCTAAAAATTATAATGTTACCTTCAATAAAAGGTATTCTACATAGCAATCAATAGTCATATTAAAAGATGAAAAGACAGACAGTATGAAGACACAGATCTAGACAACTGTTTAGACTTTCATCTAGTGCCACTAAACTGTTATTTACTTTCTATTTCTTTTTGAGATAGGGCCTTACTATGTCGCTCAGGCTGGCTGTAAACTTGCAAGCCTCCTTCTAGAGCTCCCAGAGTGCTAGATGAGTTCTTTTATAGGCTGTGTCAACAAAACTGGCAGTGACTATCTTGCCCAAATAAAAATGAAGGTATATATTTAAATATTTAAAGGGAAATTGTTAAGAGTCTTCAAAATGAATTTAGGGAGAATTTTCTTATACCCAAGTCAGCTGTGCATATCAGCACACAATTGGAAACAACTTAAGGTCCTAAAATTCCTTTGAGAAAACATGAAATAATATTTAAATTGAAAATTTTTGATATTAGACTATCACATTTTGGAATCAAATATCAATTAAATAATTAAGCATCAAATGGTAATCATTATGGTATCTTTAAAGTGGAAGCATTAGGTATATCAAGAGTTTATGTGTATAGTCTAAAGTCAATTCAAATTATCCACCAGAACAATGATATTGACATATATAAGCAAAATTAAGATATTATAAATTTTTTTCAGGCAGGTTTAAAAAAAATCCATCATCCAAGAAATTTTAGCCATTAGTGATATGTTAGCAATAAAATTAAGAGTCTGGTAAAGAATGCTGTAGGCACAGTGGGGTTGTCTCACAGTTACACTTAAAATGAAGCCAGAGAAGATAAGATTCCAAAGTGACTATTCAATGTTCAGAATATGATAGACCTGAAGTAATGCCTATGCATGTGAACCTAATGAAAGTGATCACGATGCAATATAAACAGATACCCTTATTAACAGTGGCAGTTAATTATTGACTCTTGAATGTTAATCCAGGGATGACTTCCAATAATCTCTACAGCCAAGGTCCATATACAATAAAGATCACATGAAGTCATTTTACTATCTCTACATAGCATGCTTCTAACTTTGCTACAGCTACAAAACCTCCTAAATATTCATGGCATACTTTTCAAGTCTTCTGGACAATGTTTAAATAAAACATTGTGCTTACTTAATTCTAGGACACCTTAAGGTAAGAAGTGAGTGATGGGAAAAGCACCCTGGTCCCTGTTGCCAGTAGACAGGTGGCTTGAAGTAACCCTTGCAACAACATGACTGCCAAGACCCACAGACCTTGCCTAGAGGTAGTCATGCTTTCATTTTAGTGTTTACTATACAAGAGTCATCACACAAGGACAGACTGGTGATGCTGTCTCATTTTATCACAGTAAAAAAAGGGAAAAAAATCTATATATATAGTATTTGAGTCATGGTGAATTTACCAACTCTAAAAATTTTAATTTTTATGTGTATGAATGTTTTGTCTGCATATATATATCGTGCAGTGCCCACAAAGGGCAGAAGAGGGTGTCAGATCCCCTGGAACCAGAGTTGTGGATGGTTATTAGCCACCCTGTGGGTACTGGGAATCTAACCTAGGTCTTCTGCAAGAGCAGCAGTGCTCTGAACCACTGAGCCATTGCTCCAGCTTCACCAACTCTTATATTCTTATATCAGATTTGTATATTGAAGTCAGGCTACCCTGGCATGGCTACGCCTAAGCACTTTCCTAAGGGATCCTAAATTCTGTCAGATATGTGTGTGTGTTTTGGTCTGAAAGTGTAGAGTCCTTAACTGTATAAAACTAGAGAAGTGTAAGTATGTCTGATTGTCCTAATGAAAAAACAAACCTTTGAAAGAATCTCATGAACAAGAGTGTTACGAAAGTCTCTCTCCAGAGCAAGATAAGAACCATTACCTGGGGCTGGAGAGATGGCTCAGCAGTTAGGAACATTGACAGTTCTTGCAGAAGACCCAGATTTGAATCCCAGCACCCACCTGGCAGCTAACAACTGCCTGTAACTCCAGTTCCAGGGGATCTGACAGCCTCTTCTGTCTTCCGTGGGCATTGCACGACATGGGTGCACTTACTTACATGCAGGCAATACATGCATACACATAAAATGAAAATAATAAATAAAATATTAAAAAAGAACGATTACCCATCTTTAACATTAAAGAAACTGGAAAATTGGAAAAGAGTTTGTAAACATTTACGTTATCTCTGGTTGGTGGAATGACAGGTGGTTTTAAAGTTTTTTCTTTATGTATCAGAATTTTTTTCTACAAAGCTGTAATATTTAAATAGCTTCACAAGTAAAAATAATTAGGAAAATGTATGGAATTCCCAAAGTGTACCATATGCTGGCGAAATCAAGTGCATTTTGGATAATACCTGATCCTTCTGAACTCTCATCTCATCAACTTCACTTTCAGCATATTGGGGATCTCGCGCAGGGTCTTGGATTGCTTTCAGTGTGCTGATACTCTGAAATTATAATTATGCATGTCATTTCATGCCTATAACCCAAAACTTTCAATGGTCACCATCTATCTAACAAACCAAACTCCACCAGCCTGTCACTGAAGGCTCTCTGATGTTTCCAGCTTTTATCAGACTTTTGAGAACCCATTTCAAGTCCCCAAGTCCTCTTCCTCCTTCCCTGTCAGATGTCTCTCTTCTCTAACAGCCAGAGAGCTCTGTTTGAAAGGGGAGCAGGAGCCATATCTTACTCAGCTTTTAACCTCCACAGTGCTCTGTTTACAACACTATTATCAAATGTTTAATTGATTTGGGGGCATGAGAGATAAAAATAAAGTTACCATAATAGGACCTTTGGAACACTTCCTGTAACTGCTGAACAGTGCTAAAAATTATTGCTTTAAAACAATTAGAAATATATACCTTTGGTGGAAACAGCTTTTCATATACTTTTTTCCACAGTTCCATTGGTGAATGGGCCTGAAGCTTTCCAATGTCATTATCAGAAACAGGAGGAGATCCTAAAATTGCAAGTTTTACTTCAAATGAGTACATAGATTAAATTATAACAAACTTTTAATAAAACAGATGGAATTTGTGAAAGTACAAAGCTTAGGGCACTCATATTCCATCTCCTTAAGATAGATACCATTGGGGGCTGGAGAGATGGCTCAGTGGTTAAGAGTACTGACTGTTCTTGCAGAGGACCCGGGTTCGATTCCCAGCACCCACATAGTGGCTAACAACCATCCATAACTCCAGTTCCAGGAGAATCCAATGCCTTCTGACCTCCTTTGCATGACATGGGCGCATGGCATTGCATGATACAGGTGCACTTACACACATGCAGGCAATACACTCATACACATAAAATAAAAATAATAAAAACAATAAGATATATACCATTAAAATTACTCCTACCCAGAATAGCAAAGCACTTGGGCAGACTGTAGTCACAGAAGAGGAGGTAAGGCATAATTGTAAGGTGTAATTCTCATTTTTCACACCTTATACCTGTATCTATACCATTAGTGGTAATTCTAGACCTTGGTGTTTACACTGGAAATACATCCATGTCTGTATTAAGGATTTCACATTGCAGCATCATTTGTAGTGTATAAAATTGATCACATAAAATGCACATTCACAGTAGATAATGAACTGTCACTATGCATGGCTGTGCTTTATAATCAGAGAAAAAAGTTCAAGTAACAATTAGATCTATATGTAGCATATATGCATAGAAAACCCACTAAAGTGCCATGAATTTACAAAGGTAAATTTCAGAAGGATATAGACTGATACAATTATATTAAAACAAATCCTTGTTTTCACAAACACATGTGAATATAAATGCAGAGAATGCTGTATGGGGAGCTGTGTGATAGACTTACTCCTTGTATTTACTATCTGACCTTTTTGTTTCCTTGCAGTGCTGGGGATTGAATCTGAGGCCTCATGTATGCTCAGCACTCTACCACTGAGCTACAGCCCCAGCCCATTATTTTAACTTTTTATGAGGATGTATTTATAACTTGTATAACTTAAATTAACTTGAAAAAAAGTCTGTTGCATCTCCTGGCAATTTTCAACCTATAACCTGAGATATTTCATTATTTCTATTTCCAACAACTTCATCATTCACCCAAACTGTTTCATGGCTGACCTTCCAGGGGTTCCTTATCTCCTTGGTGAGAAAGGCATAGATGCACTACTTGAGTGCCTGTGTGTGTTTATGTGGTTATATACAAATTCATCACTGCACAGGCTCACACAGCTGCCACCACCACAGTCCAGATCCTCAACAGTTCCATTCTCATAAGGATCCCTGCGTTATTCTTTTTATTTATTTACTTTTATGTGTATGAGTGTTTTGCCTGCATGTGTGTAAGTGCACCTTGTGCATGCAATGCCTGCAGAGACCAGAAGGCATGGGATCCTCCTGGAACTGGAGTTATGGATGGTTGTTAGCATGTGGGTGCTGAATCAAACCTGGGTCCTCTGCAAAAACAGCCAGTGCTCTTAACCGCTGAGCCATCTCGCTGGTCCCCCCCAGAACATCACCCCCAGTGCTGTTCTTTTATGGGCACAACCGCCTCCTTTCTGACCTCTCCCCTTGTTTCTGGTCCAAAGTCCCGCTACTACCCTCTGACAACAATTTTCTAGAATTCTAGTCTCCATTTCTAAAAATTTCTGCGAACAGAAAGACATTGTATGTATCCCTCCTTAAGTGACTTCTCATTTACTATGATTCCCCTGAGGCTCATTGTATGCATAATGGCACTGATGCCCTGCAGTGCACCTAGGCTAGCTAGTCCACTGTTCAAAGGTTTCTGGGTTGTTTAGGGTTTTGACTAGTATTTCAAATAAAGCTCCTTTGAACATTTATATGAATTTTGGCATGAGCATAACTCTGAGATCAACCTTAATTAGTGTAATTCCTGGGTAATATGGTAGATGCATGTTTAATTTTGTAGGAAATTATTAAATTCTGGGTATGGTCATCCAAGTCTGTACTAGGAAAGGCTGAGGCCAGAGGATTTCCATGAACTTGAGGCCGGACTGGGCTAACTATGGAGACCCTGTCACAAAACAAAACAATACAACAAAGGAACTGTGAAGCTGGTTTGCAGAGTGTCTGGACATTTCGATTTCCACCAGCAGTATAAGGGTGATGCAGTTTCTCTGTAGTATTTGGTGTGGACACTGGTTTTTGTTTTCACTATTCTGATTTAAGTATGCAGTGATATTTCATTGTGGCTTCATCCCGATTTGCATCTCCATGATGACTTAAACACCTTTTCATATGCTGATTTGCTATTTTTCATCAAAATATCTGCTCATATTTTTTGCCTATTTTCTAGTTGGATGGTTTAAGCTTTTTTATTCTTGAGTTCTTTACATACTTTAGAAATTATCTGCTTGACAGATAAGTGGTTAGAAAATTATTTTCTCTCACTCCATCCTCTTTACATGAGCTTATGGAGAGTAAAAGTTTTCAATGTTGATGAAGTCCAAGTTCTGTGATTTAAAAAGTGTGTGTGTGTGTGTGTGTGTGTGTATGTATGTATACTTGTATGTGGGTGTATACAGAGAACAGGACATTGAATCCCCTAGAGCTGGCGTTATAGGTAGCTGTGAGCATCAACATGAGTGTTATGAACTGAACTTGGGTTCCTCTGGAAGAGTGCTAAGAGCTCTTAACTTCTGAGCCATCTCTCCAGCCCCAGCTCTAGGAGTTTTAAATTCAGGAATTAGCAACCTTTTCTGATTGTCAACTCTTCCATCAGCATTATCTATCAGTACACACACCGATTCTCAGTGCTACTGAAATTAAGTTGGCATTAATGAAAAAGATACCAATCAGTCTCCATGACTACTTGTTAGGCATTTCCACTCCTATAGTTGCAATTCGAATTATAATCTCATTGCAAAGGTCACTATATTTGAGGTAAGTCACCCTTAGCTGCTAAGAGTAATAGAGGATTGGATGTACAAAAGAAAACCCCTGTTATCATGTTAAAAATCAAACCATACAACCAAAGAGTATAAAGAATTTCTGGTCCCAAGGAGCTTCCATGGAAAGATTAGGGGCTTCATAAGTGAAGACTATAGAATCTGTAAGTTTAGAAAATATACACCATTAGTGGAAAAGTGAGGCATAACTATTTGGTTCTTCTTGGTGTCCTTTCACTTTAATCTCATGTGGAAAAGTGAGGCATAACTATTTGGTTCTTCTTGGTGTCCTTTCACTTTAATCTCATGTTTGATTCAACATGTAGCTTTGAATTTCTTGGCCATCCTATATTCCTAAGTTCTTTAAAACTCAAGGAACTAAAATTTAAAAGTGCATTTTTTTCAGTGGACTAGAGATCAGAGATGAGTCTCTTACTCAGTGACATCCCTTCTGCCACAGATATGTCAATGTGTTGCATGTTACAACAATTATGGGCATACAAATAAATACATGTGAAATAACTGCCATGATAAAGAAACCAGAAATGGTGGTGTGCAGGAGACAAGGAAACAGGGGCTAAGATAAAATCAATAAGCAATTTAAAAAGATTAAGCAATCTTAATAAGTTCACTAACCTATTTGACATAAAGAATCCAATCCTGCTGTGATAAACAGTGGTTTATTCTGATCCACACATATCGATTTGCTACATGGCAAAGAAAAAGATTCCAATTTAGTTCAGCATCAAATATGCTACCACACACTACTATATCACAAGGACAAAGTTTTATATCTAAGCCTCTGATGAGAGTATTTCCCAAAATGAACCAGTGAAAATCGATTTAAGTGATTTCAAAAATTAAAATACAGCATGAACAAGGTTTACAGGGGAGGGGAAAAGCAATAGACTAATATGATTTAAAATCCAAACAAAGAGAAACTGCAAAAGCCAGAAAGAGGTATTTCAAAACTTTCAGTTCAATTTAAAATTAATGGAAGAAAATAATAAAGGAAAGCTACTAAAACGGAAGCCAAAGAAATCAGTGAACATGCATCACAGTGTAATTTTATTATTTTATTCCAGTCTCAACTAACATCATGACATTTTAGTTGTAAACCTTGAGAAATACTCAAACAATATAAGGAGAGGAGGTAATCTTAAACTCTCCTTTTCAGAACAGTTATGAAAAAAACAGATGAGATCTCACTGGTAAATAAATTGAGATGGAAATATTTAACAGTACCTCTTATCAATACCAAATGCCAACTGGTTGATAACGCCACGAATTTTTAGCAAGAGAGCCTCTGATTTACTGGTGAACTTAGAAAAAAAAAAACAAACAGGAGAGAGGGGTCACAACTCCAGTAGAACTGATTAAAACTTTCTGTGACTAAAAAGAATATTAAGCTGGGCATAGTGACACACACCTTTAATCCCAGCACATGGGAGGCAGAAGCAGGTGGATCTATGTGAGATTGAGGTCAGCCTGGTCTACATAGCAAGTTCCAGGCCAACTGCGGCTATAGGGAGATCCTGTCTCAAAAAAGTTTAACACTTGTAATGGTGTGTGTGCGTGTGTGTGTGTGTGTGTGTGTGTGTGTGTGTACTCTTTTTATGAGTGTCATGCAACGCCCACAGAGGTCAGAAGAGGGGGTTGGGTCCCCTGGAACTGGAGTTTTGGACAGTTGTTAGCCACTGTGTAGGTGCTAGGAACCCAACTTAGGTCCTTTGCAAGAGCAGTCACTGCTCTTAACCTCCGACCCATCTCTCCAACTCCTATGAACACGCTTAATGTGTTTTAAAAGAAAATTTTCAAAATATAATTGGGCTGCAATCTTAATTGAGGAAACATTGGCAGTGGATTACTGCTGGGTGAGAAAGAGCTGATAGGCTGAGTAGACCTCAGTGGATGGACTTGTACAAGAGAACATCTGGGGACACTGACTTGACACATTTGGCCTTAATACGGATGACAGAGTATATGGGTTCCAGTCGGGGGGGGGGGCTGTGGGAGGGTGCCAGTGGGAACTAGGGTATAAAGATGATTAAGATTGTTTGAAATATTCTGTATAAAATACACAAAAATTCAATAAAAACAAATTAAAATATAATTGGGCTGGCTAGACAATAAAAGGCATTTATCAAAAATAACTTTAGCATCTGAAGTAGTATGGCTGTCATCAAAGTGGTCCATGTGGGCCTGGAGACTGCAGCAGCTGTGCCTATGCTTGCTCCAGTGACTTTAACTTCTCTGAATTGCCTGTAAGGCCTGAAAAATAAGTTACTGAATATTCTCATTGGTAGAATATAACTAAGAGGATCAAATGAAAATATTTCTGGAGACCAAAAGGAGGTAGATGCTATCAATAATTAGGCTCTGACACCCAGAGGAAACCAGGATGCATGGTTACCATACTAATGGTTTAAATCAGGATTAAATGGTTTCCTTCTGAAGACACCAAGGCAAATTAGTTGCTAAACTGACACAAAATATAATTATGAAGCAAAGATATCACTCTTCTGTTTCTAATGGCAATTCTACAAGCAACCTTGATTATGGTGTAAGAACAGGCTCACAGAGAAAGTATTCAAGAGAGCAAACTGTGAACATGGAAGATCTGATAGATTCCTTTATAAAAAAAAAAGTGAAATAATGTTGTTAATGCTTATAAGGAGATAATGCTTAAAGATGGAGAAAAATTTAAAAACATTGTTCTGTTAAATTTTACTATGTAATTATATATTTATTGCATTATAATATAGTAATGCTATTAGTTTAAACTGTAATTTTATATTTTATATTCATTATATGAAAGAAGAGAAAAGCTAATCACATATGTGTTTCATAGAACCTGGTGGTGGGAGAACATGAGATGTTTTCTTATCCAGTTCCTCTAACTGCTGCATCAGCAGCTCCACATCCAGCTGTTGACCCCTGCTTGACCAGACTCCATGTCTGGGAACTCAGCACAACTCAACTCTTTCCATTTTCAGATAATGGTGGTATTAGAAAGTTCTTATTTTGAAGAAATAATCTCTATTGATTTTTTTTCAAAATAGCAAAAATATTCTCTAAAGCACTGTGCCAACCTGACACAGGAAAATAGAATTCAGGCTTAAAAGGTGATGTTTTAAGAGAACACACAATTAAATGTATTTGGAATGCTCTAAAGAGCATAAAAATTGAAAATGCATATGATACATAGTACTTTCAGCTCTAATATTCCAGTCATGGGCTCTGACATAATAACAATATATAGAAGAAAAATGCTAGACCACGCTGTCTCTAGGTTTCTCCGTGCTTTGATTTAGAGGAAAACAGACCATTAAATAATTATTCAAATGTTAAGGTGGTATTTTTTTATAAAATGACTTTTTAAAAATATTTATTATTTTTATTTTATGAGTGTTATGCCTGCATGTAGATAAGTGTACCCATGTCATACAATGCTCGTGGAGGACAGAAGAGGCTGTCGGATCCCCTGGAACTGGAGTTACAGGCAGTTGTTAGCTGCCATGCAGGTTCTGGGATTCAAACCTGGGTCTTCTGCAAGAACAGTCAGTGTTCTTAACTGCTGAGCCATCTCTCCAGCCCCCATAATATGACTTTATATTTTATCTTTTGTTTAAAAGATAACCAGCAACCGGGCATGGTAGCACATGCCTTTAATCCCAGACTTGGGAGGCAGATCTCTGGGAGTTCAAGGCCAGCCTGGTCTACATAGTGAGTTCCAGGACAGCTGGGGTTACAGGGAGACCCTGTATCCAAAAAGAGACCAAAAAAAAATGTGATCAGCAAAATTGGGCCCTACTATAGATGATAATTATTAACCTTTTCTGTTGTTGTTTATTTCTGAGATGGAGGCTTACTATGCAGCCCAGGTTGGCTTACATTTGAGCACCTCCTGCCTCAGCCTCCTGGCTCAGTCTCCTGAGTGTGCCTAGCTATAATTCCCATCTACTGAGTAAGTCTTGTTGCAGGTCACATACTGAGCATTTCATATGCACTCTCTATCACTCCTCACAACAATCCTAAGAAGACACCGTCATCTGTTTTTATCTGAGGAGAGGAGGAAGCTTAAGTGTCTTGCCTAAAATCTTATGTCTAATAAGTGGTCCCTCTGACATTTGAATCCAGGCAGTATGACTTCAAAGTTCATGTTTTTAACCTCTATAACAAACAGTACCTCTTTTACATCAAAAAACATATTACAGGGGGAGAAGGAGGGATGGAAATCATGTAAGTAAATATCATACTCATGTATGAAATGCTCAAAAAAATAAAAAACTTAAATTACAATTTAAAAAAATTATGTAATATTTGAAACTAAATGCACAGCTATAATACAAAAAATAACATCTTGCTAAAGATTTTTTCCTTTAATTTTATTTTATGTGGTGCTCATTGCATATATATATATATATGCACCTGTGTTGTACAATGCCCACAGAGGACAGAAGAGGGTGTTGGATCCCCTGGAACTGAAGTTATGAATGGTTGTTACTCCCCTGTGGATGCTGGGATTCAAACCCAGGTCTTCTGCAAGGACAGCCAGTGCTCTTAACCACTGAGCCATCTTTCCAGCCCCATTTTTAAAAAATTATTTTTCCAGCCAGTGTGGTGGTGCACACCTTTAATCCCAGCACACGGGAAGCAGAGGCAGGTGGATCCTCTGTGAGTTCGAGGCTAGCCTGGTCTACAGAGTGAGTTCCGGGCAGCTGGAGCTACAGGGAGACCCTGTCTCAAAAAGACCAAAAAAATTTTTTTTTCCTTTTTTCTTTTGAGGGAATATAGATTCTAATTCTTAGGAGGGAAATAGAAATGAGTGAGCATGCCAATTTCTGTAAGCCTGTGGGCTCGTGGACAGAAGCAATTTAGAGAGAGGCCATCTGGGAGAGTCCCTCGGTAGACACATCTAACAGCCTGTAGGAGGAGGGCTTTAGCTTGGGAGAGGAGAGGAGGAAATGCTCTTCTCAACACATTTGTTACCCACTGTGCAGCAAACTGCTCTTCCCCCACATTCCCTACTGGCCAGCAAGCCCAAAGAACAGGAAAGTACAGACCATCAAGGAAGCTCCGAAATAGTGTGCAACAAATCGAAGTGTCTTGCATATCACCTTTCTCTTCTCAGGATCGAAATCCTGTAGAAGAAAGTTATTAAGAAAAATAAGTTGAGAGAATGAAAGAACTCAGTCAAGGAGAAACACATTAATTCTTATTTTTAAACACCCACCCTGAGGGGTCGGATTCTGTCTCCTTCATAGTCATTTCTACTGAGACTGAACAAGTGCTACAGCCTTCTACTGCCATGGAGATCAGATCTTTTTGTTTCAACACTTGGCTTAAGAGAATCCAGATACCAGCACACATTTTATAGTGTGGAATACCCTAAGGATCTCTGACAAGTAAAAATAGGAAACTAATTTTCTACTTTCTTCAGTTTTAAAAAAGTCTTATCCCTCTGTGGCTGAAGATTTGTTTTCTAAATCTGCTTTATTCCCATTCTAGCCACTGTATTTATTTTCTTTACCTATTTTGTCTGTCCTTACTTTATTTTCCTTTCCAAAAATTTTAAGATGGGTGATTCTTTAGCCTGCCCCATCCAGAGTTATTTTTCTCATTTTATACCACTCCACAAATGCATAGCCATGTACATCCAGTAAACAGTGAGAAATGGAAGTGCTTACCTGAAAAATATCATATTTACTTCCAATTATGACCAGAGGTATTGGAAACGGATCAATTAATTCACGATCCTGTTAATAAACATACTTGGTCAATTATAATTATTTGTTGTTATGTTCTCAGGAATTTCTATTTACTTCCAAAAATACAGTTTTCAGTCTCTTCATGGATGTTGAACCTGCTTGCTAGTCAAAAAGTTTGCTCCAATATTAACTTGTACTTTGTGCTAGATTCTTAGGTGTAAAGCCACAAACAGCAATTCCTTAAATAACTATGGTATTTATTTTCCTTTTCTGCTGTTCTATTTTCCTCTATGTACGTATCTTTACAGAGTTTCCATTTTATGTTGCTTGCTGCAAAAGTACTGTTTGGCTTGCTCTGCTACTATCCACGTAACACACATGGTATAAAGGCTAACGCCCTGTGAAATGCTGTGCCTAGTTTTTTAGATGAGGACATTTTGGGCTGTCTTTAAAGAACTACTGTTACCATTACAGCAACTTTCTAATTGAAATAGTTGTCAGATGATGGAAAGACCCTGATGTGCGACTCATACTAAATGAATGTAAAACACACAATGCTAGAAGGCAGTTAAATGCTGCCCCTTGCTTCAACCTATAACTTTATCTAGTCTTTGCCAGTTCAATCTAGATTTTCATCTTCATTTCTGGATTTTCATCTTCATTTTACAGAGATTATAAAATCAATATCAAACTGATACTCTGGGGCTAGAGAGATGGCTCAGTGGTTAAGAGCACTCTGCTCTTGCAGAGGACCTGGGTGCAATTCCCAGCATCCATATGGCAGCTAACAACCGTCCATAACCACCCAGTTCCAGGGGATTTGATGCCCTCTTCTGACCTCCGCAGGCACTGCACAATATGGGCGCACTTACACACCTGCAGGCAATACATTCAAACACATAAAATAAAATAAAAATAAAATAAAAACCCCTTCTGCTCTAAAACTTGTTTTTTTCTAAGTAGTGTAATATGCCATAACAATCACAGATGGTTAACAGGAAGACATAGACATCTTTTCCTTGTTTTGCTCTTACTGGGATTTTATTAAATTGCTATAATTTTCCAGTGAACAGGTTCATCTACATCAAATGAATTTCAAGTCACACATAAAAATCTAAAGAAGTTGTGTTGTGATGTTACTGCCACTCTGTGTGGCACCTCACCGGATGGTCCTTCTGTATGCTGCTCCACATCTTCTGCCTCATTTCAGAAGCTGCTTTGGAATTTGTCTTTGCCACTTTCATTATCACTTTATCTACATGCCTTTTTGTGGCTTGCAACAGATTTTCCATAGTCGGCCAAAGGTCATTAGGTTTTGAAAGATCCAAAACAAGAACTATAGAAAATGTCCTAAAGAAATGAAAACAACTTTAAACAAAAGACTCAAAATAGACCATTTTGAAATGTTGTTGTACTGACATTTATCTAATAACACTATAGTTTAGAAAAAAACCCAATATACCATTATTCTAAGATAGGAAAGAAAAGGTAGGGAAGGAGGGAAGGAGAGAGGGGGGGGAGGAGTAAAGGAGGGAAGGAGCGAGAGAAAAGAGAGAGAGTCCAAAGCTTTTCTCTATGAGATTTCGGTATTAAGTAAATAAATAAAAAACAGTTCAAATGAAGAAGTTGAAAGCATTTGGGTCTAACTATGTCATATTTAGATCTAATTTTACCTAAGGGGAAGCAAAAATATATCAATATGAAACTCAGCAGCAACACAGTATACTCAGGAAGGAGGAGGAGAGGAAATGGATTCACTCACTGATGGCCTTCCTAGGAAACCAGCGAGTTTATAATAACCCTTCCTAGAAGGATCTGTATGGATCTGAAGTCAGAAGCACATATTCATGGAACTGCTATGCTGTAGAACTGTCTTTGGGTCAAAGTTACATGTCTTCTAACTACACTACTCTGCCTTTCTGAAAATTTACCTCTGACTGCAGATGCCACTGCCATCACTACATGCACTAGACTCTGCTCATACCCTTCAAATAGAACTCTAAACTCAATGATGACAAAATAACCCACTTAAAAATGGATTCAAGCTGGGCATAGTGGCACTCTCCTTTAATCCCAACAGAGGCAGGCAGATCTTTGTGAGACAGAGCCCAGCCAGGTTTACATAGTGAGTTCCAGGCTAGTTGGGGCTAGAGGGAGACCTAACCACAAAACTACAAAAACAAACAAACAAAAAACCCCCAAAAGATTCAAATAGTATTTCTCCAAAGAAATATACTGATGGCCAATAAACACATGAAAAGTTGCTTAGCATCACTAATTGAAGGGAAATGCAAATCCAAACCACACTGAGAGTATCACCTCATAGCCATTAGAGTACTTACTACCAGAATAAAACCAAAGCTAGAAAACAAGAAGTGTTGCCAACAGTACAGAACCACAACTTTTGCGCACTGCTGGTGAGAATATAAAATGGTACAGTCACTGTAGAAAAAAGCATGGCAGTCTCTCAAAAAACTCAAACAGAATTACCACATGATTCTATTTCCTAAGCTTCAAATTTGGAAGCCAGAATTTTTCTTTGTTTTTTTTTGAGACAGGAACTCACTCTCTAGCCCAGGCTGTCCTAGAACTTACTATGTAGCCCAGGATGGCCTTGAACCCATTGTGATCTACTTGCTGAGTCTCCTTAGTGCTAGAATCACAAGCATGAGCCAGTATGCCCAGCTGGCAGCTATGATTTGAACAAGTATGTGGATATCAATATTCATAGCAACAGCATCCACAAGAGTTAAAAGAGACAACCCAAATGTCCATGGATGGGTTAATGGATAAACAAAATATAGTGTATATGTGAATGGAGTGTTATCCACTTTTACAAGGGAAGGAATTTGGCACATGTTACAATATGAATCTTGAAGACATTATGCTAAGTTAAATAAACCAATCATGAAAAGACAACTATGCTATGATCTTGTTATATAAGGTAGTATGGAAGTCAAATTGACAGAGATTATAGGAACTTGACTGGAGTTCATCTGGAGATGAATATGGTGGTAGCTGTATAATACTTAATGCCACTGAATAATACACTTAAGATGACTTCAATTATGCACATTTTACTGAATAAAAAACAAACATACATAAATCTAGGAATGTTTTAAAAATAGTTATAAGAAATATATAGATGCTTAGATGCTTTACC